TTCTTTGTTGATATATTATTGGCTGAGTTAATGAGGATTTCATTCTTGGAGGCCTTTTGATTCTTATCTTTGGGCCTTTGCACTGGCCATCCCCTACCCCAGGAAGTGAATTTCCTTTTTATTTTTGCGGCATAAAATCCCTCTCTTCCTTCCAGACACAGTTTCAAACATCACCTTCTACATAAAGGCTTTCTTGTTCCCCATAATTAGCATCCTCCTTCCAAAATTATCTTTTATTTAACTTTTTTGTATTTATTTATTTTTATTCTATACATATTTACATATGTATTTGTTTCCCTGTTGGAATATTTGCAAGTAGAGATTGTTTTATTCAATGTACTTGTATCCTTATCATCCATCATGGTGCCTGGCTCATAGGAGCCACTGAACATATATTAGTTGACTGTTAATATCATATAGATTTTTGTTGGGATACTTTTCAAATTTATGATCCATTTTACAGTCTAGAAGGTTTATATTGATGGCTCCTGCAATGCGCTAACTGTTTAATTGTTTTCCTCACTGAGCTTGAATTTTAAGATTCTACATATTAAATTCACATTCAGGTAAAACTTTCTCCTTAATAATAACTACTCAGTTAGCTAATAGAAGCTAACATTTATATAGTGCTTACTTTGTGCCAGGCTCCTCAGTTACAATTATTATTACATTTGATCCTCCTAACAACCCTGGGAGGGGGGTGCTAGCCGTGTGACCCTGCAGAGTCATTAATTCTCTATTTTTTTCCTCAGTTTCCTCAACTGCAAAATGGGAATAATAATAACACCAACTTAAGGGTAATTGTAAAGTGCTTATAACAGTGTCTATCACATAGCAAACAGTATATAAACATTAGTTATTATTATCTCCATTTTATTGATTAGGAAACTCAGACAGAGGTTAGGTGATATGTCCAGAGACACACAGTAAATGTTTGAGGCTGGATTTGAACTCAGGTCTTCTTGACTCCAGGACTGGTGCTTTATCCACAATGCTGCCCCGAGGAGTCACCCTCTACTTTATATTTAATGCGTCTTGTCTGATGTAGACCAAGGCATTTTAAAATATCAGCCTTCCTTATTGGCTCAATTCCACCTCTAAACTCAACTTAAAGACTCCAGTCTGTATCTTTCTGAGGCATGCATTAAAACTTGTAAACTCAAATCCAAATGATTTTTATATAATTGGAGAAAGATACTATGAAGTAGAGGAGTTATTTAATACGTGTGTGTGTGTGTGTGTGTGTGTGTGTGTGTGTGTGTGTGGCCATACAGCTTGATGTTATTCACATATATCAAGTGTTTCAAAAAAGATATTATGGTCTGCTTCTCTCTCTACTTTGGAAGCCATACATAATTCTAGTTGGTACAGATGATAATTGCTTTAGGGCCAGGCATAACCATAACAGGCTTCAACGAGCTCCTTGAAAAATGTTACATTTTGTAAAGCTCCTTCTTGATGTGTTTGTGTTGGTGGCATGCATTCAGAAGAGAAGTTTCCCGTGCGGTTATCAAATACTCTAAATCTCATTTTCTCTGGATCAATTTTATACACTTGTGGTACACGAGTGCAGAACAGAGTCAGGGGCTTTGGGACATCAGTAAAAGCCATTATGTCATGGCACAAGTTTATATCATTTTGGAGCATTTGTTTAATAATTATTGAAATGACAAGCTGTCCTTCATTACACCTGGAGTTTTTTCGTATATCTTTTTCACTTTTCAGTCAACATAACATTTTCTTACCAGTTTTATAGATTTTATTTAGTAGTATAAGCTGTGAATTCTTTTTATAAAGTACATGAATCTGTAATTGGCCCACATTTCTAGGGACCACTGGCATTAACTTTTGGTAGTGTGATGCCTTCTGTTAAGAAAGGGTTAAGAGGAAAAAGGAGCAGTGTTTGGATAGGAATTCTTGTGTAACTCGGAAGCATCTAAGCTGATAATTACTGTATCTGACCCCACTACTTTATAGTTTGGCAGAGAAGCTAGAGTTTCAGTTATCGCTCCCTTGACGTAACTGTTTTTGCTGTTGTTCAGTCGTTTTAGTCATGTCTGATTCTTTGTGACCCCATTTGGAGTTTTCTTGGCAAAGATACTGGAATGTTTGCCATTTTTTTCTCCAGCTCATTTTACAGATGAGGAAATTGAGGCAAACAGAGTTACATGACTTGCCCAAGGTCACACAGCTAGTAAATGTCTGAGGCCAGATTTGAACTCAGGAAGGTGAGATTTCCTGACTCTAGACACAGCACTCTATCTACTGTGCTACCTAACTTCCCTATTTAACTGTTTGTCTAATGCATCATTAATTTTCCAAGCTTTCTGTTTCTCATATGCACCAGCTTGTGTTTTTGTTGGGACCACAGAAATGACCCAAAATTGATAATGTAAAGGATGATAATGATGGTAGTAACAGTGGTGTGTTTGAAGTGGAGAACAATTTTTCCATGTGGACATCAAATACATTATCAAAAAATTATTAGTGAAAGAGTACTGAGCTTAGAATGAAAGGACTTGAATTTGAATCCCAGCTTTGGGCAAGCCACATGAAGATAAATGATTAAAAATACAACAGTTCTTTCTCTTAAGGAATTTACATTATATTGGAGAGAATACAACATCTGTACAGAAAAAAAACAAAAAAATTAAAATACGCAAAGTAATTTCAAGAGGAAGAGAACACTAATACTTGGGGTAGGGGTAAGGGAAGGGATGAAGAAGATAAAATACAGATGACTCCACGGTCATGTTTTGAAGAAAGTTAAGGATTCTAAGAGGCAGAAGTGAGAAAAAAGTATATTCTAGACATGGGGAACCAAAGAGACAGAGGCAAAGAAGTGGGAGTTGAAATTCAGCGTAACGGGAACAGTTAGTAGGTCAGTTTGACCTGAATAGTGAGCATGTGAAGGTAAGGATGTGCCTTCTTTTCTTCAAAGCCTAGGACAAAGCCTTGAAGGACAAGCATGATTCATGGGTGGGAAAAGGATAATGAGGCAGCTAGGTGGCACAGTGAATAGAACGGGGATGAAGAGTCTGGGAGATCTGAGTCTGAATCCTACCTCAGATACATACTAGCCAGGCAAATGGGCAAGCCACTTAAACTCTTTCAGTCTCAATTTCTGCATTTGCATTATTGCTTATTCCTCACAGTATTCTTAATAAGGAAAACTACTCCCCTTTTCTCCATTTGGCAAAGATACTCTGATATATTAATAAATATGGCTAGGTCAGGAGGAAGATGACAAAAATTTGGAAAAATCATTTGAATGGCTGGTTGCCACTTTCAGGTCACTGGGAATGGGGAAAGATAGAGGCTGGTCTGATTAAATTCCAGTTCTAGTACGTTCTCTTTCACACCAGTAGCCTACTAAAGTTCAAATGAAAAAACACAGATGGGTTCCATCTCTAGCCGGAATGTTATAGCTTCCAGCATTATGCTGGTCTCTGTAAATTTGCAGCTTAGATGACTCATATGGAGAACCTGAAAACATGAAGTTAAGTGATTTTCCAAAAGTCACCCAATCTGTTATGACTAAAAGGATAGAGCTTTAGTATCTAAATGCTAAGAGAGGGTCAGATCAGTCCCCCCAAGCAGGCCCAGCCAACTGAACTTTTTATTGGCCAGTGGGTGGAGTTTCCATGGAGTAGGACTTTGAAGGGGGTAGGAACACACTATATGATGTCACCAACAGGTCCTGGAGGCAGAGCTCAGCATACAATCACTACAGCTCTCCTACTAGTCTATAAAAATTTTTGTCTGGATTCAGAGACAAGGAGGCAAATTTAACATTTTTCCTGACTGTATTCGCTACTGTTCTGTAATGGATTCTTTTGTTACTAAAGATGTTAGTTGTTTTAAAATGAAAATTATACATAAGTCCTCAAACACCAAGAATAATTTTTAACTTGATTTAAGAATCCATGAGTTGACTTCAGGTTTTTGACCTTTACAGAAAATGGCCCTTATTTCCACACTGCTTCATGGCTTAAGGATATTCAGATCCATTGTTATGCTACTTAATGATCTGAAAGGGAAAGTGGGCCTGATATTACAACCAGGGACAGTCAGCTGGCATGGTGAATTGGCAAGGCATGCACATTCAACATCCTTAAGCATTTAATGGGTTAAAGAATATCTCAGGAAGAATTAATCATTTCTGTTTGAAGCTGAAAAAGCTTTTGCACAGAAACACAATGAAGGATGGAAACTTTATATTCTTTGGTTCCTTGGACAATAAAAGGCCTTGTCTAGTCAAGACTTGGAATAATTTTTCCCAGGGGGATTATTACTATTTGAGGGGGATGAATAGTACACTCTAGTATACTCTTTCATCTGTTGAGACTAAAGACCTCTGTCTTTTTAAGAGGGCATTATTTTGGACTACATTTTGGGACAGGTCAAGAAGTTCAAAAAATATACAAATAATACACTTCCTCAACTCCCACCTTCTAGCTCCAGTGAGAACAGATTAAAGCCAACTTGGTGAATTGGTCTTCATCCAGAATTCAATTTAAAATGTATGTTCCAGGGGGAAAATGCCTGGCCTGATAGCTGAAAACCTAAATTTTTACCAGGACTTGAGAGCTACTGTGTGAATTAGAGCATGGGCTTTGGGAAATGAAAAACCAGAAAGGAACAAATCTTTAAACTCATTGACAAGAGGAATTAAATTTCATAACAGAACTGTGTCTTCCATCAAATTTTGTGACTCAAACACCTATTAAAGATTAAGTGTGAAAGACCCTATACTCCAAATCTGCATGTCAGATATAAAGAGACCTGCTTCTGAAGGTCAGAGGTGATAAATGTCTGAGTCTGCAAGCTATAAGCCAGGGTACTGCCTGTCATCATTAGATTTAAGGGAAGTATTTCCCCCTCCAGAATCTGTTGCAACTTCCATTTCTGTAGAAAAAGAAAAAAAAAGATTGCAAACACATTGGCACCAGTAAGACTGAAGTGCTACTTGCTGACATTTGAAATAATGAAGCCGTTACCGTGCGCCAGTACTTTCATTGGACCCCAGAAGAGAATGATGGAGTGGATCAAGGCGTTGATGCAGTGACCCCAGAAAACCTAAGGGAAAACAAACCGAGGGAGTCAGGAGGCTGCCCCAAACTCTTGACCTCTGTCTAACTCTCAACAAATGCCTCATTGTGAAGTTTACTGGCAGCATGTCACAATTTTCCAAAGCCAGAATATTATTCTTCAAAGTTTTCTAAAATGCATTTCCTCATTCACCTTTAAAAATAAAATAACTGTGCTACTGCAGGATAACTCTATTTCACTTTAAAAATACACACATAAGCCTGAGGCGTTAATACCCAGCCCAAATCTAGATAGTTAGTTGTGATTAAACTTCTTTCAATTACTCAGGAAGGACAAAAAACGTTGTTTTTTTAAATCTCCTTTTAAAAAAAACAACAACAAAAAACCAAGTGCCTCCCTATTAGGTTGTTTCTCTAAACGCTCCATTTTGTGTGCATTTTCTCACAAAGCATTATTTTATAAGGCAAATCCTTCAGTTTTATTCCTTAAAATTTGAGAATTGCTCAGCTAAAAATCCAGAACTTTTCATACTTTCAACATCAAATGCATACATTTAAAAATGAATTTCAATATTTCATACTTCAGAGGTTAGTCAAACAATGGAACTGGAAAGTCAGATTATTTTCCAAACCATGAAAAGAAAACACATTATAAATTCATTAGTGTATCTCAATCATCTTTTCGAACCACAGAGATGACAGAAAAACTAAAACCGTATTAGTCTTATTTTAAAAATCCACCACAGAGACATGCTTAAAATAGGAAAGCTTAAATGATACAGTCTGACTATAATGGGAGAAGTGAGTCTTACAGATAAACATCTCATAGTTTCTCGTCTCAGCTTTGTTTTTTTAATGGCTGGTATCTGGAAACTAAGAATCTTGAAGAGAACTTCTACATTTTCTAATATGTTTATGAGGGGGAAAAACCAATAGCAACATGACTGGAGTATAGTCAGATCACCTACATGTATGGGTCCCTGGGGTAGCAAAGAAAATAATTTTTTCTTTCTGCATGGTTGTAACAATCATTTGGGGGAGGGGGTACTAAAGGACTCAGAAGAGGCAGCATGTCACAAATGGCTGGCCTTGGATCCAGAAATATCTGGTCCTCCCAGCTCTTACTTTCATACCCTCTAAGGTTACTTTCCATATGTTCTCGAGTAGTGACAACTATTATTTCTCTTATGTATATATATTGTCTTCCACATTAGAAAGTAAGATCCTTGAGGACAAGGACTGTTATTGTTTTTTCTTTTTATCCCTAGAACTTGGTAAATACCTGGCACATAGTAAGTGTTTAATAGATATTTTGTTGATTGATGAGTTGAGATCCTATTTTTGTTGCATAAAAGCTCTGTGACCAAGGACAAATTGCTTTATCTGTCAGCGTTCCACACAATTCTTTAGGTTACATATAAGTTGCTGATCTGCACTGGTGGATGGAGTTTTTACCCTAGGAGTTCATTACACAGATGAAGTCACAGATGAGGTCTGTGCTCCCCACTCTGCAGTAAAACAAGGCTCAAGTTTCTAAGAGGCAATATGGAGGGAAAAACCTCCAACAATAATCTACAAATGATGAAACCAACCAACTGTTCCATTTACATAATTGCAAATCAAAGTCTATCTAGTTACTAATATTATTTTTCACATGTAACATTTCTCCTTGCTCTCATTGTTACATTATGGGACTTCCCCTAATGAAATCTGGTATATGCCAAATTCAACTAACTGATTCTTAAGAGAAAATTATGAGTGTAATTACTGTTGATACCTAAGAATAAATACCAATATTTGAGATGTGTATTTTAAAAAATGAATCATCTGTAGTTAAAAAATTCAAACAATTTTTAGAAATCTTGCCTATAGTTCTGTGTCTCCATCTGAGTAATGAGATCAATATATGTTTGGACTGTGACCTGAGACTGAATGTTCCCTTCATGAGTGTGTCTATTCAGTGACGTACATCAGGAATGGCGGGATTTGCAGCTTCCCCATTGGGAAACAGTATTAATTACATAGATGGTTCAGAGTTGCTTAATACATGATTTCATTCTTGGCCTAATGGTAATTTTGATGAGCTAATGGAGTTTTTCAGACTAGGATGTCTGATTATTCTAAAAAAGAAAAACTGATCATGTCAGTTCTAGATTATGTCTTAAATCTATTAAGACAGAAGCATTTGCTCCCATTACAACTCTTTGTTCTTGGATATCAGAAGCCACAAATATAAGGTCTTTATTATTTTCCTGGGTTTTCCTTACAATGTATTAACTACTCTCTAGAATTTGGAAATATGGTGGGATGTGAGTGATAAGGCACAACATTTATTCCACTCAATTTTTCCAAAAAGAAATCCTGTAGTCCTATTTGGGGGAGGGGGGAGAGAAGGGGACCGCAAAGTTGAAAGGGAACACCAAAGTTCTTTTGGTGATTGATGCAAGGACTGTTGGTGACTGGAGAGAATAGTTCCAGTACAGAATTTTTGCTCTGTCACAAGAAGGTAGCATTTTTCTGGTTTTAAAAGTCCCTCTTCCTCTTTAATTTCTGTGTCTGACTAAGGTTTCCACCTGGTATCAGAAATAAGTCCCAGGCTGGTTGTTTTTTCTATTGTATAACCTTTGAAATGATACTCCAGTCCATTTTTGCTGCCTATGTCTCATTCCCTTTAAATTTCAGGTTTGGGGTCCAGTATCATCAAGAAACTTGACCATTTGAAACAATGTGGGAATAGGGTAGGCAGGGGAAGAGTACAGAATAGAAAAAAAATAAACCACTTAAAATTCTTCATATAACAGTAGCTCTGTAGAAGCTGGGATAACCAAAAAACAAGTTACCTGAAGGGGAAAAAAGAACAACAAAGAAAAGAAATATGAAAATAAACTATTCTGTATTATTATCTAGTATTTGAGGCTGTAGAGGTTCATTAATTCTTGTTAAAAAAAAACAATGCTACAGAAAAAGGCACAAAATTTATGCTAGTAACAGACACAAATAACTGGATGCTTTACTGCTCATGGAAATCACGAATTAGGGCAGATACAATTAGGAACTGAAGACCTATTCAGCATCAGAGATAATAGAACCAAAATGGTAATTTTCATTGTTTCCAATCCCCAACATGTTAGAATTTGTACCATGCTTGTCATGAGACCTGGGAGAAAGGGGACCAAGGGAGGTGTTTGTTAGAAGGAACAAAGAAATTGCTACCAGAATTTTACTGGAGCAGAAGAGCTCTCTCTCATGGTATAAATAATAACTAGCCTAAAATAGTCCTCAATAACTGATTGAGAACCTGGGTTTTGCTCTATACAATGTGTAAACAAGAAAAGATTCCATGAATCCAAAAATCTAGCATCATTTTAAGCATATGACTTGGTCAGCTGAATTTATATATACTCTTCTAATCCCCTTGTAGGCAAACTTCCACAACACAAATTCAGCTTACATCTTTGTCTCCTTTGATTGGCAGCCTCTGTTAATCTTGATACTTCCAGGCTTACCCACAACTGGCAAGGAACATGGCAGATCTTCTGTTGTAACAGCCCACAGACACCCTTCTTATGTGTATCCCAGGGAACCCCTATTTTCTCTTGGGATGTTTTCCTACACATTGGATATTCCAGTTTTGGAACACACCTGTGATTGATTCTATCTTTGTGCTCATTCTTTCCCAACTGCCATGGGGCCTCTGAACCATATCAAGAAACTAGAGGACACTCTGAGTGAGTGGGCAGGATTTTATAGCTTCCCAGATACCCAGATAAGCAGCTTTGTATCCCAAGGCTCAAGTAGCCTTATTTAGAGTTGACCCGAAAGCTTTCGACTTTCCACCCCAAATTGGTAAATGAAGGAAAAGATGAACAGAGCTTAACAATTGAATGGATATAATACTTTCCCCAACTCCCCTCCAAATTAATTCTTCTCCCTCATTTCCTATTTAAATTTAATAATTGTACTTTCTATACTCCCTACCACCCCTCAATCCCATCCTCTCCCTAACATTTCAATGGTTACATTATGTGGGGAGGAAATGAGCCCAGTGTTCTAATCTGCTACGGTTCAATTTCTTAGGATAAACTGTTAGGTACCACTCAAAGTTGACCAGAACTAGAATACAGCGAGCTAGAAAGGGGGGAAAAGGGAGTGGGATAGCATTTTAGAATGAAGTACCTTCAGTAACATTTTTTGCTCACCTTTGTGTTAAACCCTTCAGCATTCTGGGTAATACTGTAGAGCTGTGGAAACCTGAGCATGCTCTCCTGAGTACAAGTCCGCTCAAAGATTCCCAGAGTGAAGGGTGGTAATGCAGTGAAAATCTATACAGAAAGAACAATGACCCATTAAAATGGCTGGTTTGTTTTGCACACTTTCAAAGTGTTTCAGGTTTACAGAGCAATGACTTAATTTTCCTGTCAAGCCCCAACCTGAGAATCCCTGTGATTCATAACTCTCTAAGCACCTTCAGCACAAAGGAAGGGAATCAAAGGATAATTTCTTAATCTTACTGTTCCTTCATTGGCCTAAAAATGAATAAATTGAGCCTGTTATAATTACAGGATACATAATAATGATTAGCTAACAAGTCCAGATAGATTAACATCCATTTTCCTTTTCAGTACAGGCTGTGCAACACACCCCAGTCAATATCATGTAACTGTATTCAGTTCCAAAAGAATTCAAGGTATAAGTGTGTTTTCCTGAAGCTCACTAAGGCAAAATTTACAACTCCAATCATAAATTCCAGTCTAGGAAATTCTGAACCTTAAATGCCAGGAAAATAAATTAGGTTCATTCACCATAAGCAAAAATTAAATAGGCTGTTTGGAAATTATTAAGATGTAAACATTCTCATTTTAATCACAATTGTCTTGCCTCAGTGTTATCTAGTACAAACACACCATAATCTATTAGTGAAACACCCGATCCATGTGCATTTGCTTTTCGTATTCAGTCACTTATAGACCTTCTTCCCTCCATTTCCCCATCAGCAGAAATGCCCTGACCCTCTATTCATGTACACAGCGATTTCAGAGACAAGCAAATGGTTCTTAGAAAATCTTTAGCTCTTCCAAGTTAGATGGAGATTGAGTACCTATGTCAGGGAAAGAAAACATTTTTTTTTTTGTAAAAACCCATCAGTTTAAAGCAAATAGAGATGAGGTGACTAAGATTAATAAAAATCTCAGCCTCATCATACTTAGGTCCTGAATCCTATCCAGGGAACAGGGCACTGTTTCTCTACTCTGTTTTTCAGGTACCCAGCCTAGAGCTATTTTGTTAGGAGCTTCCTGTAGCTTCAGCATAATGAGCTTCATAGTACTCCTGGATATTTCCCGATGGCCTATTGAAAGCTGAAAGGTCTAGGCAGGAAGCAAGAAACTGCCAAGCCCAATAGAGAAGACCCCTAAGAAGCTATATTCTCAATAGTAATCATTATCTAAAGGAGAGATGATTTATATAGTCTTCTATAAGGCCTGTGTCCAAAACACAAAAAAGCTATTGAGTGAGTGGCAGCATGATATAGTGGATAGAGTCCTGGCACAGGAGTCAGAAAGCCCTAGGGATAAAGACTATCTCTAACATTTATTAGTTTGTGACCACAGGTAAGTCACTTAAGTTTCAGAGACTGAATACCATCCCCTGTAAAATGCAGATCATAGAATCATCTGGGCCAAATGACTTAAAATCTTCAAAGACAGCTTAATAATAATAAATGATATGTTTAGTACCTACTTTATAGGTTATGAAGATTTAATGTTATGTAGAGCATGCTATAAACCTCAAAGTGTTATATAAATGCCAGCCATTATATTTTAACAGCCATAAAATGTGAATATGAAGAGCACTCTACAATCATAATTTTGGGCACTATTTTTTAATTTGTCATACAGGAAAATATCCAAAGAGAGTCAGGCGATGTGGGTTCAAATTTCAGCTTGTGCAACAAATTAGCTGTGTGACCTCAAGCAAACCAGTTCATGGCTCTAGACCTTAATTTCCTCATCTACAAAATGGAAGTGATAGAACTAGATGATCTCCAAGGTCCTTTACAGAAGTCCTAAAATTCTTGTATCAAAGATGATAAGCTTGGAGTATAGAGGGCAGTGCAGAGACAACCAGCTGAAATCAGTGATCTTCAAATTTTGAGATGCTATGGGATCTCTGGGTGAGTCAAAAGAAGACTGTGAACCAACTTAATACATTCCTTATTTGCATAGATACTGAAATGGTCACCTTAGTAGAATGGTAATCAGGATGGTACTATTTTTAATGACAAACCAAGGAAGGATAATATAAATAACTTATTTATTCACCATAGGAATCCAATGAAAGGAAATGTTACAGTATAAAAATTATTGCCGGACATTGGCCTGTAGATCACCTGGAAGGCCCATAAGTAATTTCTCTGGCCATCTTGGAAAAACCATTAGCCTAAATGCCAATGGGAGCTAATCTGATTTGCAATTATTATAATATTTATGCTTAAAGTGTTTACCTCCATTCTAGGCAGCATTTTAAAGTCCACTGAAGACTGTCCCTAAAGACCTATAAATTGTTTCCAAGTATCCTAACAAGGTGAAGGGAGGATAGTGTGAGAAGGAATGCGCTTGACTTCATGTACTTTGATTTGTTTGTAAGTGCTGCATGTTGCTATGATAAACATTAAAAAAAACCCCAGTAAAGTGGGGCTCGTTGTGTTTGAAAACATACACCCATATGAACTACTTTTGTAGGAAAAAAAGGGAATTAGCAGAACAATTCTGAATTAAAGTATGAATGGTTAAAGTTGCAAGAGTGTTAGGAATGAATTGCTATTAAAACCTCAGAAATCGGGAGGAGGAGAGCAGATGTGCCAGCTCAGTTCTAGCTCTCCATTCTGTTAAGTGGTAGATAGCCAGATAACACCTGGAATATAATCTTGCCAGAGATGCTGGCATAGCTAGGTAAATAGTCCTCCCAAGCTGCCATCATATAGTCACCTAGACTAAAAAGGTACTTGGAAATGTTAAAATGGCTATAAATCGTTAAGCTCTGCTGCTGAGATAAAAGAGCCAAAGCATAATGAGAAATTGCAAAAATTAAGCTGCAAAACTAAGCTAAAGAATTCAGAGAGCAGCCGTGATGTGGTAGGAAGATAATGGATTGGAAGTGTGTGGATATGGATTCCAGTCCTGCCTTTGCTTTCATTAGCTTTGTGATGACAGATAGGTCATTTTACCTATATATAGGCTTCAGTTTCTTCATCTGTACAATGGAGAATTGGACTAGACTTGCAGGGGTGGGGAACCTGCAGCCTCAAGGCCACATGTGGCCTTCCAGGTCCTGGGCTGTGGCCTTTTGACTGAATCCAAGTTTTACAGAACAAATCTTTTTATTAAGGGGATTTGTTCTGTGAAGTTTGGATTCAGTCAAAGGGTCACACTTGAGGACCTAGAGGGCCACAGATAGCCTGGAGGCCAACAGGTTCCCCCAGCCCTGCTATAGCAATTTTCAGGTCTTCTCCACTTTGAACTCTGAGATGCTCTGATTTGAAGGTGAAGAAAAAAAATCTGTGTTGGCTAATTTGGACTATTCAAGGAAAATTCTGAACTCATTCAACAACCACCACCATTTTGCATGAATTGTGTTTTGAATGAATGGTTCCTTAGGCTCTACTTTGGATTGTGAATTCCTTTTCTGAATGCAAAAGAGATCATAGCATTTCAGTGTTCAAAAGGGACGTCAGAGGTCATTTACCTCAAACTGTTCCCCTTAAATCTGTACCTCCATGAAAGGCGACTCATTATTTATAAAGGCAAATAATTTTACTTCTGGATGCCTTTAATTGTTAGTTAAGTTTTTCCTTATATTACCCTAAATCTCCTTTTCTATACCCCTCTTTCTTGCTACTCTTTCTGCCCTGATGGATCAATCAAAGCAAGTTTAATTACTCTTCTAAATGACCATCTTTTCAATATTGTACATATGTCATGACCTTCATTTCCTTCTCCCTCCCCTCTCTTTACCAGTCTTCTCTTCTCCAGGTGAGCCATTCCTAGTTTCCTCAATTGATCCTCATAAGACATGATTTCAAGGCTCTTTGTCTCTTTCCTTTGGAAGCTCTCCCCCTGTTCAATGTTCTTTCTAAAATGTGGTATCCAGAAGTTAAAAACAGCATAGAGTTTCTATTGAACTGAATCCCTTCTCTTTCCCAAATATAGCCCACTTCTACCCACTAGTTTCACAATGACCTTAAATTGCACGATGGATGGAGTCACTGGTTTGCTGCAAATTATTCAGTACCAACTTCTTGATATCCTTTCAGTTTCACTGTCCTTATATTGTATTTAATTTAATTATAACGACATATAAATACATATTTCTTGAAAAGCTGGAATGGGCCTCAGATTTTTTTTTTAATGTAATCCTGTTCATTTTATGGATAAAGATTGCCAATTACATGCCACATTTTTACACATGCTATCTTTCCCAATATAAGCTCCTTAAGAACATGGATTATTTCAAATTAGTCTTGGTATCCCGAACCCTTACCACAGTGTCTGACACATAGTAGGCATTTAATAAAATGGTTGGTGACTGAGTGACTGATGACCAAACAGTGGTCCAAGTAACTTGTGCAAGGTCACATATGGCTAATATGTGCCCAAACTAGGACCAGAATCCAAGTTTGGGGTTTTTTTCCACTCTATCACATTACCTCTGCAAACAGTATGAAAATTAAGTAAAAATTCAATCAAGGAAGAATTAGCAGAGAATTATTAAGTTGAAACATTTTTCCTAAGCTATTACATCACAGCAATTTCATTCGATGCTTATATAAATAGTTTCAAACTGTCTTTAACATAAGAAGATATTACATATCTTTACATTTTCATTAGCATAGTAGTAGCATAGGGGTATAGATTCCAAAGCATTCAGGGACTGAATTCCCATTGGTTCAGTTCACCTCCCTTCCAAATCTCACTTGCTTCCAGTTGCACAAATCTGCACATCAGTTGGTTAGTGGTATAATTAATTAGAATTCATGGAACACAGCACAGCTAACTGGTTGACACAGAGTTCGAACTTGTGACGTGCATTGGATTTTACCGGCACAGCTCTCTAACCAACTGTATTCACCAACTATAGATTCATATACATTATATAAGTATTACTAAAACTTTATTTAGTGATATTTCTGCATGTCCAAAGACTTCCAAGGCTGACTACATAGATGCCAGCAGAAAACAAGCTCCCAAAGAGCACAAAGCAACGTGGGCAGGGTTGTCACTATAGGAGGCATTTGTGTCAATGATGCTAATCATAGAATCTGAGAGTTGCAAAAGGCCCGTCATCTTATAGATGAGAAGTTGAAGCCCAGAGAGGGGAAGTACCTTGTCCAAAATCCCATAGAGATAGTATGTGGTAGAGCTAGGAGCTTGAACCCAGGTTCGCTGGCTCACGCTTTTCACAAAGGCATCTTATTGCCTGTTGAGCATCTCTGAAATACTATAGTATAAGCTAGATTTCCCTTAATAATTATTCCTCATATTTACCAGAAATTGTTACTTCTGAGTTTGGAAGCAGCCCAATAATTGAACAACTTTAAAATCACTATAACAGTAGAAAATTTTAGACTACTAATTTATCCTTGATAGGACCCAGAAATATGAATTCATCTGTTAGTCTGACTTAAGTAGGAAAACAGTCTTCTACAAATCAATGTAGGACAAAAAGAAAGACAATAATTATACATTTTATTTGTATCTCTATGTTTGTGAATTCAGAAATAATTTTTGAATAGAACATGTTTAGGTAAATTTCAGAAATTTTCATTTGGCCTAAAGAAATATTAAAATGTCATACAGCCAATTGCTGAAGAGGTTGCAATAGTATTTTATCAAGATATATGGAGTAATAATTTCATGGGGTTTTTCTAGAATAATCTGCCATGATTGAAAACACATGTGTAGGGTTAGTGCTTCTGCAGGATGTGTCGTGGCCACAAAGGCCCTAAAGATGTATTTGTAGTGCATGATATGTATACAGATGATTGACTTAGATACACTTCCCAGACATAAACAGCAATGGAATGTCACTGAAGTTCTGTAGGCTATCAAATAGAGATGGAGAATGCTTACCACATTGTACAAGCCAATGCACCATCGTTCAAATAAAATCTGTCCAGAAAATCCATTAACGAAGGCAAACCAAAGCTGAAAGAGAAGAAAGTTGTATGAAGCTTTATATCAATATTGACCTAAATGTTTCCATATACTGAAGGGAAGTGGTATGGAATGTGGACCACCAGCTGGACACAGCTGCTATAGAATAATTAGCCATAGCACCATAGCAGTTGTTCTTTCATAAAACACATTTTTTCAATGGATCATGCTATCAATATTTTGAAGAAATTGTGTGAGGTACTCTAATATTTCACTGTATATTATGCTGAAAAATGATTGATAAAAGTAAAACTGCAAATAATCACATTCAAATAAGAACCAATGAAATATTAATTATTGCATACATATATGGCATGCCCATAGGTTTATAGTCTAAGTGAGGAGATAAAAACTAAGACTTTACATTGTATTTTGCTTCAGCCTTTCCTATGCAACCTCACATTCTGCTTTTCTAAATAATCTGTGCACATGTCCCTATGTAACTGCAAGCTCCTTAAGGGCAGATTCCACGTTTTCTTCATCTGTGTATTCTCCTCAGTCCCAAACAGAGTGCCTCATATAAAGCAAGAGGCTAAAACTTAATTGAATGAATACGGGGAACACTAAGGAAAGAGTATAATTAAAGAAAGTATATAATTGACTAAATAGTGAGGTGCGACTATAAATGTAATAGGAGTTCAGAGTTCAGGGTCAGAACAACTGTAGCAAGTTTTGCACAGATGAGACTCTAAAGAAGGCTTCAAAAGAAAGGTAGATTTTTGACAGGCAGAAAAGAGAAGGCAAAAGAGCTAGAAGATAATCTGATTAACAAGTGAAGGAATCTTGAAGACTATCAGGAAAACAAGTACAATCAATCAGTATCTACTGTGTATCAGGCACTTTGCTATAGGTAGCTAAACTTGTTCTACAAATCCATGATACAGTAGCATGCAAACAGCACTTTCAAGAATCTTACCATAAAAAAATCAGATAGTTTATGAATGATTTTTTTTTTGCTTTTTATTTGATAGAGATTTCACTTAATAATTCAAAAAGCCTAAAACATTAGAGCTTTCAGCCTTGTTACTATAGCATATGTCAAACCATTTGGGCATTTTGTTATAATGAATATTTCTCAAAAATAATCATTTTAAGTTTGCGTATCTTTTCTCACTAGCAAGATGTCACACTTCTCAAAAGAATGAGATTACTTGTTCTGCAACTTCTGTGCTCCTCAATGTGCCTAACACAGTGCTAGCCACATAATTGGTGTGCCCATTGAATCAAATTAAATGTCTGAATGTCGGATCACAGAATGATAGAATGTTAGATTTTCAAGGGCTTTCAATGCCTTACCGGAAAAAGAATCCCTCATAACATAGAGGGCAGAGGGTGATCTGGTTATCTCCGGTTTGGTTTAAGGGTCTTCAAAGAGGGAGGGATCTATTACCATGTAGGCAGCCCAGGCCATTTTTGGACAGCTCTAACCATAAGGAAGTTTTCCCCAACATCAAATTTTAATTTTCCTCTGCAACTTTTACCCATTATTGTTAGTTCTGCTCTGGTTCTGACTCTGACCAGGATAATCTTTATAGATTAGCCTGGTACTTATCATGTCACTTTACTACTCAAAGTTTACAATGGCTTCCAACTGCCTATTACATCAAATTTAATTCTTCTGCCTAGTTTTCAAAACCCTCCATAAGCTGACCTCATCCAACCCAAAGCAACTTTATTTCCTCGTTAATCTCCAACATGCACCTCTACAGCCTGATAAAGCTAGTCCCATTTTCCTCACAAAAAATACCATGTCTGTGTTTCCATTCCGCCCCCCTCCCCCCCAGCCTGGAATACTAGTCAAACACTAATTCCATCTCAAATGGAATTTATTAAGCTCAGGCCAAATTTCTACCTCATCTATGAAGTTTTATTTCATTAAGATATCCTCTGACTTTCTATAAGAACAACAGCCTATACCAAACATTTTGACATTATTACTGGTTTCTATTGTGCTAATATTTCGTGTTCATTTGTCTTGTAACCTAAGAACAAATTGTCCCTACCCTCAAAAAGCTTATGTTCTATTGAGGAAACACAACCATACGTAAGTAAATACAAAGTATTTTCAACAAGAAGATCAGGAAGAACCTTGTGCAATTAATCAACAAGCGCTTATTTTTTTGTTTAGTAACATTCTACTCTTCATGACCCTGTGGATCACATTGTCTATGGGGTTTTCTTGGAAAAGAACTACTGCAATTTCCTTCCCTAGTGGATTAAGGCAACAGAAGTTAAGTGACTTGCCCAGGATTTAGACAGCTAGGAAGTGTCAGATGCTGAATTTGAATTCAGGTTTTCCTGATTCCTGGCCCAGTGCTCTATCTACTGCACCACCAAGCTGCCTCCTAAAACATCTATCTACAAATGTTACTAAAATGCAATGTCATGTACTTCTTTATTGGTTGATTGGGTGAAACTATCAGAAATCTTCTTGAGCAACCAAATTCAGGGATGACCATCCACCAACAAAAAGGAGGCATAGGGCAAAAAATAAGGTAGTGACCTTGAACTTTCAGAAAGATGAGCTAAAAGTTTTATTTTGAAAAAGTGATAATGTAGATTGATTTTCTTCTGTTTTCTTTTACTTTGTGTTGCAAAAGCAGCTAGATGGAATAATTTTAATTTGATGCCTATGAGGAATGACATGATAATTAGAATAAAGTACCTAGCATCTCTTTGTGATAGTTAACCATTCAAATGAAAAACAGACAAACTGAGGACCCAGGCTGAGGCTAACCTGTCTCTGGGAATGGTTCAAGGACTTTTTTAATGAGATCCCTGATCCTCTGTACCTTAGGGATAACATATTAGTGATATTATTACATAAATACATTGGTCATGGCAACTTTGTGGGGCATCCTCAAACTTGTTTTTTTTTATTATTTCTGATGGATTATCAACTTCTGTCTTGTATGACCTTTCCTGATCCTTCTCCCACTCCCAGCAACTAGTATATTTCTCCACCAACATTACCATGTATTTCTTTGGTACATATTTTTAGAGTCATGTGTATAAATGCTGCCTCTGATGAACTGTAGGCTTCTTGAGGGCAGGGACTGTTGCACTTTTACCTTTGTATGCCTAGCCCTCTTATGGTGCTTGGCATATGCTAAGCATTTAATGAATTCTTATTCATTGGTTTGTTCTCTCTCAGATACTAGCAAAAGCAATGCACATTATAGTGACTTTAAATAGTGTTTGTTCAATGGATCACCAGAGATGATATAAAAAAAAAGAAACCAGAATTCCATAGCATCTCTTTACTCTAACTAGAGTTTGAAGACCTGAATTCAAATCCTGTCTCAGACACACACTAGTTATGGGACTCTAGGCAAGTCACTTGGGCTCTTGGCCTCAGTTTCCTAATCTGTAATATGGGGATAATTATAAAACCTACCTCATAGAGTTTTTGTGAGGATCAAATGAAGTGAAGCATGTACTCTATAGGCTTTAAAGTGCTATATAAATGTTAGCTCTTGTTATGAATAAGGTGTAAATTAAATATGACCACTAAACACTATTTATGACACAATGAACAGAAAGATTCTATAAAATACATATACCCTATTTTCCAGTACCTCTCATAACCATTTGTAACTCAGCACCAAATAAACATGGACCATGTAAAATCTCTCCAACTCCTCACTCATGCGAGAATTCTTAATTAGCTAGTCAATGAAGCCAATGCTTGTGAAATCCTGACAATTCCTCTAATCCTATTGTCTCCAAAATTTTGGGGGTTATGTACCTTCAGTGTGTAGCGCTCTCTCTCTCTCTCTCTCTCTCTCTCTCTCTCTCTCTCTCTCTCTCTCTCTCTCTCTCTCTCTCTCTCTCTCTCTCTCTCTCTTTATATATATATATATGTCATATGTTTATATGTATAGAAACTTATTTATAAATTATATAATGTCTTACTCTCTGATTAAACTTATACAGAATAAGAATTAAAAAGATGAAATATATTGGTAATAGAATCAATAAGAACCACTGAAGTTTGTTTAGTAGGGGAAGTTACAAGGTCAAACACATGCTTTAGAAAAATCATTATGGTAGTGATGCGGAAGATGGATGAGAAAGGAAAGAGCATTAAGACAGGAAGAACAATTAGGAGATTATTGAAATAGTCCTGACAAGAGGTGATAGGGGCCTGAACTAAGGTGGCAGATGAGTGAGTGGAGAGAAGAGGGCAGATTTGTGAGATGTGTTGGCAGAAACAACATGATTTGACAACTATTGGGATGTGGGGGAAGGGAGAAAGAGGAAGTTATGAATCCAGAGACTATCCCCAGTAGCCAATATCCCCATATAGCCACAAGAGGTGGAAGAATGGGGACTTGTTGGGTGATAATGGGTAAAGTGGGGCAGTTAGATGGTGCAATGGATAGAACATCAGGCCTGGAGTTAGGAAGATCTGAATACAAATGTGGCCTTAGACACTTACTAATTGTGTGACCCTGGGCAAGTCATTTAACTTCCATTTGCCTCAGTTCCTCATCTATAAAAAGGCAACACACTGGAAAAGGAAATGGCAAACTACTCTAGTATCTCTGTCCAGAAAACCGCATGAACAAAGTCCATGGGGTCACGTAGAGTCAAGACACAACTGAACTGAGCAACAATGGTGAAGGAAACAATGAAGTTGTGCTAGAAACAAACCCATGAATGTCTTAGAGAGGGCGGGATGATGGTTGCCACCCTCTGATTAGTTCATCACATACTACTTTGGTGCCATGCCATGGTATCTGCTTCAGAGACCAACACCCAAAGCAATAGTCACATCCGGTTTCTAATCAAAACTGATGTTAGCTTTCTCATGTGAGTGCTTTGTGAAGAATTTTGATACGTCTGCACTAAATTATCAATTGCAGGTGCAGCAGGCTTTGAAGGGCACAACAAAAATCATGCACAACCTTCCTCAGCTCCATATTTTTTATGTGTCAATGAAAAAAGCCATCATTTACCTCAACTTAAACACTGATTAAGCACCTCCT